CAAGAAGCTAGTAGAAACAAGTGCCTTACTGGTAGTAACAAGAAGCTTGTAATTACAATTCTAATTATTTTTGCTACAACCCCCTTTCCTGAGAACGTCGACGTGAACATAGTGCCAGACACCACACAGCAGTCAGTCAGTGCACACCTAACTTCCTCCGTTGAGTAGTGAAAGAGAGTGAAAGAGTGAAGGCACATGAAGGCACCCAAAGCATGTTCCTTTTAAACAAGGATCTCGCTGTCGTGGAGGTGCTGCGTGCTGCTGAACGGGATATGGCATAGAATGCAAGGCATTCTGCCCCTTAAGTAGGAGGGTTGCAGAGGTTGCTTCACGAGGAAGCTTGGGCCTGGATGTCATTAAAGGGATTGTTCGGTTCATTGGGACGTGTTCGTGCCAAACAGAGACCGGGTGACCAAACGTGCGACGTGTTCTCCATGAGACGACAGGAGCACATGCTGATCAACAAGTACAACAGTCTGGATCTCCAGGCTTTGTGTGTGTGTTTCTCTTCTTTTGTTTGGTGGGGGAGTGGCTCATTCTGAGAGTGGGCAAGAAAATATCAATTCTTTCTTTAAGAACCCATTTGTTTTCTCCGTCCCTCGGTCCTTCGACTTCCCGATGATGGGACTTGGTGGGTCGACGGTGGAGTATGCTTCAAGACTTGGACCTCGCATGACCTCGCCTTTGTGTCTGGTGGAAGGATGATTGGTTTCTGAATGGCTGGTTAGTGGCCAGGGTTCAGACACATAATTCTTGGAGTATTTTCAGACATTGTTTCCGCAGCCATTTCAGTGGAAGTCTCAGAAACGATCTGAAACGTACAACCATAATTGATAAGGTCGACGTAAGAATAAGACAATGATAGGTCAGTTTGGGCCCAAAACATACCAAAACGTGATTTGTGGGTTTGCTCTTGCTTGATCTGCTTGCACCTTCACCCACAACACAATAGTCCAGTCATCAGAACTGTTTTAGTAGAGGCCGGTTGGCCTTCACGGACTGGAATCCAGGGTGCTATCTTTTAACCGACGCCTTTAGGGTGTATCAACCAGTCACCAAAAAAACAACAGTGCAGAAAGGGGGGCAACTTCACAATTTTGGGAAAGGCCTTTACACTAACGTCCTGTGATATACCCAACCTACACCCTTTTCAACTCCACCCCCTTTTTGGTTCGGAAAGTGTCGCTGCATAAATCGAGCCCTGCAGTTCCGGCACCGACGGTTTTGCCAAGTTGGATGTGCAGAGGGTTTGACTAATCAGCAGAAAGTTCGTGCAGATATTAGTTATATAGTATCACCTTAGGTCAAGATACAAGGGATGACCAACTCAACGTCATGGTTTTGGCACCAGATGTGATGCTGGGTATCACCTGCGACTTCCAAAGCGCCATGATCCCCAAGGTACCCCAGTAGAGCAACATCAATTGCCCAACTCCTTCTGTTTTCATCCTGGAGTGTGAAGCTCAGCAACATTTGTGTGATTGAATTGCAGTGCTCAACCACCAAATTAACTACTATTATGAGTATGATTCATGACACCCGGAGAGAGCAAAGCAATCACAGCCTCATTTGGAACAACCACACCACAACGAGGTGCCCCAATCCACTCGTCATCTCAGGTCACCCGTCTCATCACTCTCTCGTCACCGTGACGAGCCCATCGATCGCATCTCGAGCGACCAGCCGAACGGCAAATTGGATGTCGATAACGACGGGGAGAAGCCGAGTGCCGATGACCGCCCACAGCCTTTGGCAGGAGAAGATTGCCAGTTTGAAGGCCAATTGTCAAGAGATGATCGATCAGGGGCGGATCACCATAGAGGAGCGGCGGATTCGGGAGGTGCCCCGAATTATAACAAGAGTGAAGGAAGAGTCGGACCAAGTGTGAGGAAAAGGGGGTTCACAGTGCTTTGACAGATTCATTGCCTCAAAAGTATATAGAACAAGAAGCTACGACCGGGGCTCCTGGCATCGCGAACGGCACTGAATTGGGACTCCACGGTGCGCCCGTCACACCCGCGGCTCCGCAGGAGCGGCCGGGACTCCAGGAACAGTTTGCACAGAAGCGACAGGAGGCGAAGAAGGCGGAGAAGCCCAAATTGGTGGAGAGTCTCGATGAAATGGGGCGGCGATGAAATGGGGACAGTGGTCGGAGGGTGTTCTTTTGGACCCAAAGTCTAAAGACCTCAAATGGTCCTCCGAGTCGGTGTGAAAAAAAACTTTCCTTTGAGTCCAACAACTGCGGCAGAGAAGTACTGTATCCCCCTGAATCAGCGCAAATAAATGAATAACTGTATTCTGTTACCATGGATTCAGGATATCTCAAGATCCTACATTTTAGAAACATATTTTGGAAAAATCAACATGGAAAAACATAGAAGTTTGGACAATTCTAGAGAAACTTGTTGTGCAATAATTATGTGCAATTTTGAATCTTATAGAGAAGAAGTGTGAACGCAACGAATTCAGTCTTGAAGTTTAGAGAGAGAGAGAGGGTGACTTGGAGAGTGCAATATTGGGTTTGATTCTATAGGAAGCCTGTGTTTATCGTTTTGCTTTGCTCAAGCATGCTGTTGGGATGGAAACAGGATTGATAAAGCGATGTTTTACAAGACTATATGAAAGCCTTTAAACAATATAGTAATGCATATTATAGCATTACATTTTGTATGAGATGAAACCTGTTTACGCTAGACTTCCATAGAAGTCCCAAGAGAAACTATCATAAGAACAGAGCAAAGATTAGCAAAGGTTACACTTGTAACTATTTGTACTTCTTTTTGGAGCCAGCCGTACAGACATGAAGCTGTCCGCCGCATGCAGCAGCTCATGGAAATGGAATCACGTCAAATCATATATCAGAGTCATTTGACTCTAAAGTGCTTCTTTCTAGAATTAAAGACTTCTTGCATGTATCTCATCGGCTTCCGGCTTTTCAGATTTTGGACTTTAGAGTGGGCCAGGTGAGGGGAGAATCTTGCGGATTCCAAGGGTCAACCCCATCAGTTTAGAGTGAAGTGGTTATATGTATTGGTGTTCATTCTAGAGATAACATTTGACCCCCAAAACAGGTTTATGTATCTAAAATCAGGGGCATTACCCGGAATTCCCACGAGGATATTACTGTAGTATTCTTTTGTCTTGCTGTTTTCTGTCAATGCTCCGTATTTGGAATAGGTTCAACGGGTCACTGAAGTTTGCAGAACCCGCTTTAAGCTGTGTTTGACTCCAAGTTCAGAACGCTTTAAGCTGTGGTGGAAGTCCTCAGCTGGTTCCGACTGCAAACGCGCCAACAACTTGACTCTGTCGCCTTCGACGTCGTGCGCTTGGTCGACAGAGTCGATCTCAGGAAAGAGATCCATCATGAGTCAGATCCGTTTTTTGTTGACTCAAGTCCTTCTGAGTCAGTCCCGAGTCAGTCCTTTTTGCTCACTTCACTGCTGAAAAAGTGTTGCATGTTATGTTGATTTGTTTTGGCAGATGCTTTGAACACTGATGCACACAGGGATCCTGAAGACACGAGACGGGAATGTGATGAGACGGGAGATCCCCAAATTCATCGGGTTCATTCAATTTTTCAGGAAGAACCAGTGCCTTCGTGAACCAGGAGCCTTTTTGTTAAATGATGCTCCATGAACCAAGACATGCGAATTCGGATAGATCCAATGTCATGTATGGTACGCTATCCTTTGCGTTTCACCCACGATGACGTCCCGGTCCGCGAACCTGATTGGAATCGAAGCAGATCATCGAGTCAGGCTGAAGCCAGGAGATGGCAGGACATGCCTGTTCTTTGCAAGTCAACCCGCAGAATCACCCGTACCTACGGGCCACTATGGGTCCAAACAATGTCAAAACCATGTGATACTAGGTCCGGGACTCCGGGACTCAATAATTCCTTTCCACTCACTCAGATGTTGACCCAGGAAATATGAAGAGATGCTGGCATGTGTGCATGGGCGCTCAGAGGGGCCTTGGAGAACGGAGTATGCTTCTCGACCAACCCGCCGGTTGCCCCGTCGTATCCAACCTGGGCAAACTTTTCAATCAAACACGTCCTAAAACAAGCACTGTCTCCCTGTGTAGTTCTGATATGTACACCTGCCCATGCCAGTGATGTGTACAGTTCTCCTCGGAGATTTTAGTGTGTGTTTTCTTCAAGAGATGACTTTGCATCTCATTTTGTTGGTCATAGTGTTGATGGACCCACTGGGAATTGGATCCACCCAGTGAAAAGTCGAAGGAAGCGTCAAGCATGGCCAAGTAAGTAAGAAAGCTGGGGGAAAGTAGGAGTTTAAAAAAGTATATGTTCTCTTCAAGGAGAATGAACGGCAAGTACATGCTAGTACATATACAGACACCATTAAATTTGCAGGGGCCAGGTAATGTTGAACCGGGCTGCTTTTGTTCTCAAAGGCCAAGTTTCATCTAGGAATAACAACACCCTCAAGAGCATCAAACATCAAGCTCTAATCTCTTGTCGTGATGTCCACTTTATTTTGCGTTTCTCTCGGGCTCCGTCCTCACCTGTGTCTCCTCGTCTGAGGGGGAAGTCGGAAGGGATTTCGCATCCGGTGGCGAACCTCGAGGAGTTCTACCCACTTCACCAGGACCAAAAGAATCGGAAGTTGTGGAACTGCTCAAGGTCGGAACCCGTTGAAACGCACATACATAGCCTAGCAAGGTGATCTGAAACATAGATAGCCTATAGCATCCTATAGCAATATAGAGCGCATGACAAGCACTGCAGATGGTGACCTCTCAAGTCAAGTGCTTTTGTTGTGGTAACTCTTGTTCTTACGTTTGGGCAATTGCATTGGAGCTTGCACGGTTCCAGTACTATAACTGCGCCAAATGACCAGCTATTCTTTACTTTGTAGGGTTGCCGCGGCGCGTTCAAGCCATTGTGAAGTTCCATTTGAAAAAAGGTTGTAGGCCTTTAGGCTTCGCAAAAGAAAAGAATCGAAGGGACCCTAACATGGCTAACCTGGTTTTTAGACAATTGTACAACTTACCATGTTTTGCTTTGCCCTCTCTTTGTTTCTTTTCCATAACAGTCGGTCCTGCTTTGCCATTTCTTTGGCTGATGCCGTGAGGAATTAAAGAGCATCGAGAGACTGGAACGAGCGCCGGAGAAGAATTTGAGCCGCTGGGACTTTGAACATGACTCAAGTGAAGGCTCTGGTAAAGGTTTACCTTTGAATTGTAAGATGGGCTTCATTCGGCTTCATTAAAGTAGGTACGTGTTTGTCACGTTTATTCAAGATCTGTTCATACCTTCACTTTATTGTCCATGGATGTCCATAGGAACTCACTTTGATCCATGACCAACTCCTTCTTTCCTGTGCTTGAGGGCTTGAAGAAAGCATGGAACCGTTTGGTTGGGGCGGGGTGGAACGCAAACAAAGTCATACAACTGAGTGTTTGCTCTGTCCCATCCGTCATCGAAGTGGTTCCCATCTTGATTCATCAGACTTTAACTTTTGGCCCTTCCCTCTCTATACGCCTGGATGTGAAGAGTGCAGAGGTGTTGGTCGATTGGGTTCTGTTGATTTTCTGGCAGGCCGAAAATAGCAATGTTTACCCTGTGAAGAAATTTGAGAGTTTCCCACCCAGTTCATCCTTGAAATACAAGTTTAAAGCATGTTTCAAGCTCAAACAAGAGAAAAGCACACACAACAAAACCACTGCAGTTCATCCTGTTGCTTGTTTGCGTTTGGGTTATCCCAACTCTCGGACTCACCGGACGCCATGTTGACCTGACCCGTCAGGTGACTACGACCGGGGCAGAGCAACGAGCTGAGACGGTTCCGTTGATCGAACAGATCGCCCACGAAGGTGGTGAAAAGACAAACCTGTTTCCTACTAGTAACAAGTGCCACGCTAGTAGTAACAAGTGCCTTACTAGTAGTAACAAGAAGCTATTAATTTAAATTAGTTTCCTAAGCTTCTTGTTTCTAGTAGCTTCTTGTTACTACTAGTAAGGCACTTT